TGGACAAGGACAGTACAAGAAAATAAAATTATAAATCTTCTTTACGAACATAAATGACAAAACCTGAAATAAAATAGCACAGGTAGTTCGGTGTTAAAATGCATTATGAGTAGGTAAAACTTACTGAAAGATGGTTTAGAAAAATCTATTGATATAATACACTACCTTGAGAGATTAAAGGAGGGAGACCATATGATCATCTCAGAAGAAAGCATGCACTGTTAATATTCAACACTCATGCATGATAAAAAGCTTTTCGAACTAAGAATGGAAGAAGACTTTATCAACGTGATAAAGGATATCTTCCAAAAACCTACAATCTCATATTTGTTGGATCCTTCTCAGTATTATTAATATGAGACAGGGATCCCCAGCATTGTCATTATTCAGCATTGTATGGAAGGTTCTAGGCCAATGCAATACAATGTAATAAAGGCAGGAGAATAAGAATTAGAGAGGGAGATATAAAATCATTTGTACAAAATATAACTTTCTTATAGGAAGTCAATGAGAAGCTGGAGTCAAACCATTGGAACTAGTAAGAGAATTTTCTACACTTGCTGGCTGTATGGAAGGCATAATAAAATCAGGGTGTTTTTATACACCAGCACTAAGCAATAAAAAAAGTATAGTAGAAAAAGCAGTATTTATAACAGCACCACAAATCATGAGTATATAGAACTATGTGTAATACAAACATTCAAGTTTTTTTTTTTCCTGTGGAGTCTTATTCTGTCACTCAGGCTGGAGTGCAGTGGTACAATCTTGGCTCACTGCAACCTCTGCCTCCTGAGTTCAAGGGGTCTCCTGCCTCAGCATCCTGAGTAGTGGAGACTACAGGTGCACACCACCACACCTAGCTAATTTTTTATTTTTAGTAGAGATGGGGTTTCACTATGTTGGCTAGGCTGGTCTTGAACTCCCCACCTCAGGTGAGAGATCAGGATGCTAAGACTACAAGCGTGAGGCACCACTCCCAGCCAAATGTTTAAGATCTTTGTGGAGAAAATTATAACATGTCATTGAAGGACATCCAAGAAGACTTGAATAAATGTAGAGCTGTGTTATGGTTTCATAGTAGTAAAATGCTATGCGCACTTAGGCCTTGAATAAGTCCTTATTCTACCACATGCTAACTAACCCTCTAGCTGAAAATGCAAACACTAACTAGGGGATTTTATTTATAAAGGCTCTAGAATAAAATATGAGTTATTCATATTAGCATCACCTGTTACTTAATAATCTGAACTAGTTAGTGCGGCTTTTCACTGAGTTGTGGTTGGTCCCACAACTAGGTTGAGTTCTTCTCCTCTGCTAAGAGAAAACAGTACTGAATTTCTCTTTCTTGTGGCATTTGTATTATAAAAACCTGGTGTGGGGGTGGAGCACAAGGTTCTCATCCACTGAACCTCTGCCAATTAAGATGGTGTTGGGTTAGGTTACATCTGCTTACTGTCCTGGGAAAATCACTTTTCTAGAGATGGTCATCCAAGTGGTTTTAAAATTTATTTTTCTATTGAAGTGTTTAGGTCAATTATGTATGTTGACTAAATTTACAAATAAACTTGTTTGTCCAAAAAAATTACTAATATAACAAAATATTTTCAAATTCATGTGTAAGTTCAGTGTAATTTAAATATTTTAAAGGATATTTTATGGAATTTGCCAAGCCGATATTAAAGCTGAATAGTAATAGGCCAAGAATAGCAAAGAAAATTTGGAAGAAGTACAAGGCAAAAAGACTTACTCTACTAGGTATTTTGACTCATCACTAGCCTGACTACAACCCCGTGATCTTTTCCCAGAAATCTGCTCCTTCCACACTGTTCTCCACTTAAGCCAGTAATCTTTGAGGCAACCATAACCCTCTCTCAAACCCTGCATCAAATCTGTCAGGAAATCCTTTTGGCTCTGTCTTCAAAATACATCTAGAATCGAATCATGACCCAGGACTTCCTCTGCTATCACTTGGTCTGAACCATCATTATCTCTTACCTGGAATTCAGCCATAGTTTCTTAACCATTCATTGCACCTGTGCTTGGTTCACTCTAGTCTATTCTCAACCGAGGACAGCCAGAGTGATCTTGTAAAGCATAAGTTTGGTCATGCCCTCTCCTGCTCAAAACTCCGCTGTGGCTACCCATTTGATTCAGAGTAAAATCCAAAGTCCCTAATGATCCCACAAGGCCCTACACGATCTGATCCATGTCCTGCTCCTTCCTCCTTGTTTACTCCATTCAAGCCGCATTGGCTTCATTCCTGCCCCTTACCAATAGCAGGAACATTCTTGTTGCCTCTGTAGGACTGCTCTCTGCCCCTTGCCTGGGATATCTCAGTGGGTGACTGCCTCACTGCCTTCATGGCTTCGTTTGCAGTTACTTTCCCTTTGAGGCTCACCCTATTTAAAATTGTGCCCTGCCAGCCCTCCTGATTTATCTGACCTGCTCTGCTTTTCTCTTTTTTATAGCTCTTTTTACCTTCAGACTATGTCATCTACCTATTATAAAATAATAGGTATCTTTTTAATCTTTTTCCCACTGGAGTATACACACTAAACAGGGTAGGACCATGTTTGCTTTGTTCACTCATTTATCCCATGTGCTTAGAGCACTTCCTGGCATATCATAGGCACTGAATAAATATTGGTTGAATAAATGATGAAAAACAGTATAGTATTGGTGCAGGAATAGACGAATGGAACATAACAGAAAAACCAGGTTGAACCTGCAGCCACTAGACGAAATGTTGCTTTGTGGAGTTTTATCCTCCTAACAACCTGTGTCCTAAGTCACATTCCTCTCCAGAAATGTGAACATCGATTGTATTCCAGTCCCTGAGACATTGTTTCAGCCACACATGGCACCTCAGGCCCCTGCGCAGCTGCATTCTGGTCATTCATCCTCCTTCTCATGGGGTCCTTTCTTGATCCCTGTTAAGCATTAAAAGGGGATTAAGTATCTCTCTACTTGCAGCTAATGTTTTGCTTTGTTTGGCCAAGAACATTTTAAATTTCAAAAACCTGGGGCCATTGGAGTGGGATCGTGGGCAAAGGTCAGGGCAGCCTGGCTACCAAAATGCCCTGTCACGGACCTTGTGCGTAGATGGTTGAAGGATTCCGCTGCTCTCTGGTGTCGTCGCTGTTAGTCATTGTGCAGCACAGAAATGTTTTACTCAACAAACTCTGCAGACTCCTGAGCTTCAGGAGTGGGCTGCCTTCAGCCTGGCACTCTGCACAGATCCTGGGTGCCCTTGTGGTCATTTATGTGCAGTCAAGCTGCTCCACTTACCTACAGCTTTTCCTTCTCCAGAGAATACCTGTCATCATCCCCTCATCCCAGGGAATGCAATGAAGGAAAATTAATAGTGAATCATTTTGCCGGAGACCTGTGGATACTTAATTTTTATAGACACTCAATAAATAATTATTGATATTCACTCGTTGCAGCAAACAATTCACTTATAAATAGGAAAAATGGTATAGCAGTGTGTAACTCAATGCGTATGCTTATGCTATTTCTTTGAATTTTTTGCTTTCCTTTACAAATGTATTTTTCATTTTTAAAGTAATAGGAATCTATTACAGAAGAATTTGAAGAATGCAAAAACTTCCTAAATTGTCACCACTTTAATACAGTCGTGGTTATCACTTTGGTATATTTAGTATAGTTCCTTCCAGTCTAATTTTGGTGTGAAATTTTTTAATAGTTATAATAAAAATGTATATAATTGTTTTTTTAATTCAGCCTCAGATCATTATTATCTAATCACAAACGTATTTCCATGTTGCAACATTGTCACAACAGTCATTTTTTACTGCATTAAATTTTATTTGGCCTTATATTTTTATGTTAACCTATTTTTGATTAACACATTTTAGCAAATAGAATATTGTCGTATAATGTATAACTTTATTCAAATTGCTTTTTGTGTTTTGTTGCTTTAAATTTTTAGAGTAGAATATTAAAGAGTGTCAAGAATTTCAGTAAACTAATTTATCTTTCAGCTCTGTCATCAAATCTAGTAAATCGAGTAAGTGTAGGAGTGAAAGGTGTATATTGTATATTAATTTACCAGCTGTTGCTCCACCCAGGATCTCAGTTATATGTAACTTCATAAAGCCATATAAAATTTGAGTGAGGTAGTAACCTTTATTATACCTAGAAATGGGCACAGAATGCCAGTTGTACTGGACAGGTTAGAAACTTATGGTAGGAAATGAAGGTTCTATACTTGGGGCCCAAGGAAGTGTAAGGCAACATTGTCAACGTGTTTGAGTGTGTGTTCCTGGGAGATGGTTTGTGATCTTCAACAGATGTTCAAAGAGATCCTGTGACTACTGGTATAGACGCCATGTTTGCTAGTCAAATGGAATGCTGCGATTATGAGTTTGTTTGTTTGTTGCTGTCATTCTTTCCCTGCCTCACCTCTACACCTTTCTCCTACATTCATTACGTTGATTATCACATGCAAGTTTATAGTGATTAAAAAGATTTTATAAATTAAACATATATGTGACATTGTCAATTGGTAATATGCATAAATTTATGTTGATTTCGGAAGTTTTCCCATTAAAATGAGTAACCTCTTGCTATAGTTCTTTGTTAAAATATTTTTTTAAAAAAATACATGACCAGGGAGTGGATCACTCAGTAGATTTTTTATTAATTCAAGTTATGAATTGAACATGGACATAGGAAAATAGGTACCCCTTTACCGTGTTATTTGGAAATGTGTAGATTTACTAACTCCATTAAATTTGAGGCCTTCTCAGTTTTTGCACAGCTAAAGCAAAGAGGTATTCATTCTATGCAAAGAACTGTAAATAAAATTATTTAGTAATGTTAAGAACTCTCCTTCTTTAAAAGATAAAATCTTAGTCATTTTTGGTTATCAAATGACAGGAGCAACTCTCTTTTCCTTGTCTAACAGGTATCGTATGTGCAATGACCACTTTGTTTTGAATAATCAGTATATTTCCTTTTTTTTTTTTTTTTTTAAGGAATGGGCTGTTTCTGGGGAGCTGAAAGGAAATTCTGGGTCTTGAAAGGAGTATATTCAACTCAAGTTGGTTTTGCAGGAGGCTATACTTCAAATCCTACTTATAAAGAAGTCTGCTCAGGTAGGAAGAATTTACCTTGTTGTATTACTAGGAGAAACATGGCGGGGCTTGTTCTACTCTTGGTTGACAGCTGCCTTAAAATGGCAATATGTTTTTTCAAAAGTGTTTCTTCAATCTTTATTATTTTTGTAAATATACTTGTGGGCCTTTCACTTTATGTATTTAGAAGATGCTACTCTTCCTGCGAAATATGTAATTTAGCGTTTGCTGTGGAATACCACTCTAAAACATGGTGGCTTAAAACAGCAATTTTATGAGCTTGTGATTCTGATGATCAGCAGTTGAGGCTGGGCTCAGCTTCATGGTTCTTCTGCTTGCCACACTTGGATTTGCTCATGTGACTCAGGTCCACCTGTGGGTTGCCTGAGTGCTAGTTGGCCTCAGCTTCTTTACTCATAGGTCTGGCAATTGGTGCTGGCTGCTGGTTAGTGTTGTCAGCTGGGGTAATGGGGAAGGATGAACTATGCGTATGTCTTCAGCACACTGGCCTGAGCTAATTCACTTGGTGCTGGATGCAAAGAACCTAAGAGCAGCAAAAAGGACAAGCCCCATTCTCTGTGTTACATTCACTTTTATGCCATTGGCCAAAGCAAGTCATATGATCTAGGCTACATTCAATATGAGATGGCTCCCCAAAGGCAATGATATAGGGAGGTATGAAGAATCAGGGCCATCATTGTAACAATCTACCACATGAGACAAACATGTCATATACTAGTTGTATTTTCTGGAAGGAAAAACCCTGAAAGCCCTGCTATAATGCAAGGATCAGCAATATATGACCCATAGGCCAAATCCCACTTGCCACCTATCTATATAAATAAATTTTTGTTGAAATACAGCTGTGCTTATTATTATTATTATTATTATTATTATTATTGCATATTATCTATGAGTGTTTCCATGCCACAGTGACAGAGTTGAGTGCTTGCAACCAATTATGAAAAATTTACTGACCTCTACTCTAGGCTAACAGGGTAAGTAGACACCCTCATGGAAAATTCTATCTTGAATACCAAATTATGTGTCTGGATTTGTTTCTGACCTTCAAGGATTTCCTTTACTTTCCTGCCAGCTCAGATAGCATTTGAAATGTTTTTCTAAAAAAATTATATTCACCATCTTAAGAGGTCTTAATAGGGAGGGAGTATCTGGATATAGTCCACCATGTTGATGGAAATGGGGTGTAAAAAATATGTAAACAGTTTTATCTTTTAAAAATAAAGGCTTAAATAGGTGTGGTTTGTGGAGATGCTCTCAGCCCTGCAAGGGCTTTGTGAATGATGGAGGGGAAAAGTTGGAGTGTGGGAGCTTGGTGAATAATGAGCATGTTGATGTGTTTGCTACAATATGAATTCTATTTTGAAATAAAATTTGAACTGCACAACAATGAAAATATTATAAAAATGTGCATATTCTTGTTTTTCTTGCCTCTAGAAAAGGATTGAAATATTCTGATTGGTATGGAGAATGCTGTAATGAACAAATATTTTAATGGTAATCTATTTTTTTACTCCTGTTTCGAAATTAAATGCTGTACAGAGCTATAAATAGACTCAAATGAATCCTGGAGATCACCCAGGTGTATCCTCTCAAGTCTTAGTAATGGAAATGCATAGACTCCTTCCTGTAATTCCAGGCATGACTTAATGGCCTAAGAGAAAAAGATTACTAAGAAAATCCCCAAATATCTACTGCTTATACCTATTTTCCTCAACCAGTAAAATGTTAACAATTAATTAGAATATTGTGATTGCTTATTTGCTTGAACCTTTTTCAGTTCAGCTCTTTGCCTTAATAACATGATAATTGCCATATGTTAAACTCATGCTGTATACAAGACACTCTAATACGTACTTTTTCTGTCTTTGCTTTTCTTGAAGCAGTTCCATGAAGTATGTCAGTTTCTGTCTTTTACAGAGGGAGTGTTGAGGCTCAGAGAGGATAAATAACTTACCCAAGGTCATACCTAGCAGGAATCCCTACCTCCTTAACTCTCAGCTCGAAGTCTATGTCATTGACCACGGTGTAAGGCGCCCAGCTGTCATTACATCCCAGCCATTCTCCATTTATCCCTTTGCACTTCCTTCCACCAAGTCACAAATTCTCTTTCATATCTATCCCTCTGTTATATTTTTTATTATACTGATGTGCTTTTAAATTATTAAGGAGAATGCCAAGGAAACCCTTTTGTCTTTCTCGTGTTTAGAAGGAAAAAGGGCCAAACCAGTTAATGCAAACAGCTGGTATGTTAGAGGCCTGTAGCTGTGGCGAAGTACGGAAACCATGGAGGTTGGTAAAGAACTCGATTTGACGTGAACACTACCTGCTAAGTTAACAGTAGCTTTGGGAAGCATGGTTGTCATGGAAACTTGTTCCTGATTGGAAAGAGATAGTTATAGGGTCTTACCCAGACACAGAAGGAGAGATGATTTCTTTCCCTAGGCTTTTTTTTTTTTTGTTCTGATCATAAAAGGGAAAAACAAAAAGGCAGAGAGGAGCTATGTTGGAAAGGTCCCTCTGGCACAGAAGTGGTAGAGACTTCAGATCCCTGGGAATAACGGGGAAGGAGAACAAATAAGGTCCCTAGCTGGAGTAATTATGGTAACCAGCTAATTAAAGATTTTTGACCGAGGAGAGGGGTGGGGGAGACAGAAAGCAGGTTACACTGGCGGGCCTCCCCTCTGAAGCCTCTGGTGCTCAAAGCATTGCTGAACAAGTCAGCCCTGGAGGGGTCTGACTTGAAAGAAGAAGAAGGAAAAAAAAAACCCAAGGCCCTGGTAAGATGCATAGTAATTGCCGAGGTTCAGTGTGGGAGAAATACTAGTCTGTACTCTAGTATTTGCATTAATTTCAAAATTGCTTTCTCTTGGGCTTGCAATTAAATTTGTAAAACTTTGATCACAATCTGTGAATATTTTGTAAAGGTTTTTACTTTTATTTTGTCAAGAAAGGAAGCATAGGGACTTGGATTGTGTGCAAATTCCTTCTCTCACAAAGCATTACACTTGAGCCTAAGGTACCATGTGGTTTCTTGGGGCAGGTGCCAGAAATATGGGAGGAGGGGTTATCAGCATCCACAGGGCCAGCTTTACTTCAGTGCTCTGTGCAACCTCTCATGTGAGGACACACATCAGAGCTTCCACAAGCATTGTCTTGGCACACAGGTGGGTGAACACAGGCCAAGGAACCATCGGCTCACATTTGCTACCCCTGCTGTGCCATCGGGTCTGCACAGCCTAAACGGGGGAGGAGTGAGCCAGAGAGTGTGGATGTGCTTGTAGAAGCAGTGTGTCCAGAGAGACGGAGTAGATTCATGTCTGAATGGTATTTCCCTGTGGAAACTGATAGGGCAGGGACTCTGAACCCCGAACTGGAGTTGTGACTAGGCGTGTAGAAAAGATAACATGGCTTCTCATAGTAGCTAAAAGAGGAGGTGTCCCTGGTGTGGGCTTACTAATGGGGCTGTTCGTGGTGGGCAATCTCCATTGCTTGGTGCCACTTGCACCTCACATGTGTAGAGAATACAAGGAGACAGTCTCTTGAGAATTTGGAATAAAGTTACCCATTGAGAATGGCAGTATAAAACCAGCCTGTACTGAATCAGAGTCGAGATACACAGTCACTTGGAAGAGAGATTGGTATCCGTGTCTGTAGGATTTCACAGTAACATAATGGAATGCCCTAACTATGTAAAAGGAACATAGGGCCTCAGTGGGAGTTTGGTGAGCCAGGACAGCCCAGGAGAGGGGAGGTCCTGGCCACCTTCTCAGATGTTCTGGGCCGACCCACAGAGCCTGATACCATGGTACTTTTAAGTTTTATCCCTAACCTTGTGTTCTGATCTATACTCTGTAAAACTTTCTAATCTTCAGTCCTCCTGTGGGGATTATTTACAGAAAGAAAATGCAGTGAAATCAGGTTGGTCAGGTAGACAGTTCTAACTCTCACTTTGAATTCAATAAAATGCCACTCTGAGATATCTATCTCAGGTTCATTAAGCATTGAACCAGTGGTGCACAGGCTGAGAAACTTTGCTCTCCCAGATGTTTTAGGCCTGAATTCTTACCCCTCTGAAAGCCACCCAGCACCAGCTTCTGCACCAGGCACCCAATCTTGGCTGGGACGCAGGGTAGTGTCTCTCATGGCCGGCACACCTCTGATGGGCCACTGTTCTGATTCATTTCTGGTCTGTCTCTAAGAGACATGCTGAGAAGTAATTCATGTCTTAGTGGCCACTGTTCTGTACCTAAAATGATGTCCAAAGATTCGCCCATCCATTTGTGTTTCAGACTCAGTGTCTGGCTGGCACTAGAGAACCCGGAACTTGGTCTGGACTAGCCATGAGGAGCCTCCCTTAGCGATGGGCTTTCTTGAACAAATTAAATATGCCACTTATTGGAAGGGTGCCACATGCAAGGCATTGTACCGGGTCCTAGGGGAAGGTTGGTTGTGATGTGAAGAAAACTAGTTCCTGTCTTCCAGAATTTTCTCTGCAGTCAGATGAAAGCTTGATCTTTCACATTTGTTTTAAGGAGTTGGGCTGACATTGGTTTTCTCTTTACACATGCACACACACACATACTCCCTCAAACAGTTGTTATGCAAACCAGCTGATTAGCTGGCCTGCTGTTGCTTTACTACATTGATTTTAGAAGTAATTGAGCTATTCAGATTCCTGAATACTCTGATAGAGAATTATTCTTACACTTTATAATAACGACTGTACAGATGAACGTATGAAAAGACATTCTGCAATGGATAAGCATTCTGGGTTAATTTCAGTGCATTAGCCTAATATACAAATACCCCATTTCTGGCAAGAAAACCCAGGATGTTCATTCACTGGGTAATATCTTTTCATATTTTGCTTACAGATGTTCAGAACAATTCCATGTTTATTAGTCTATTCAAAAGCTTTTAGAAATCTGCACAGCCGAGTGGCACTGATAGCAGAAGCATGAAAGGAGCTGCTCAACTTTTCCTCGTCAGTATGATCT